TTTTTTTTTTTACTATGATTTGAAAAGTTGGAATTGCGTGCACTGGTAGTTCATCCTGTTGTGGTCAATGGTCAGTTGCTCTAGTTCTTCAGGCTGAAGTGGTTGATAAATCATTCTTCCAGTCTGCCCTGTTCCTTGCTGCTGAAGCTGCTCCCTCTCCTGGGAGTGCTTGCTGTTGTGTTTGGCACTGCTGCTGGCTTCTGCCCCACTTCCTTCTTGCCCCTGGACATCTTGGATGTCGGGATGAGACCTTCTGAAGGGCCTCTCCTACTTGCACTCTCTTGTCTCCAGATCTCTTCTTCTTGCCCCTGCCCAGAGCTATGTTGCAAGCTTGGTAGCCCTTGTGGCTTCTGTGTTACTTTGAATTAGTAAATTGAGAGTGGTTGGAGAGAACACTTCTCAGTTATCTTTTTTTTTTTTCTTCTTCTTAATTAGACAGAGCCTTCTTGTTTTCCCGATTTATGTTCATTAGTTGTGGATAAAGCAGCAACACATTTCAGCTTGTTTTTATTGTGTTGCACTAAATGTTGCATTTTAAAATCTGTAAAAGAAGAGTAAGTCAGATGACCATTTGTAGCTGAATTTGTAAGTGGTTCACAGATTACTTCTACTCGACTCCGGTTTTCCAAGGTCTATCTTTTTAATTCTAAAGCAAATTTATTTTCTCTTTTTAAACAGATGAATCATGTAAAAGAGAGGTTTGGTGACAGTGTGCCAGAAGAAGTGCTTCTGCTGTGTCTGGGCATTACTTCAGGAGTTGGCAGATTGATCTTTGGCAGAGTGGCAGATTATGTTCCTGGTGCAAAAAAAATCTATCTACAGGTATGTGTATATTGTTTCTTTATTCCTTCTGAACTGTGGATTCTGAAGGACTTGGTTTTGGGTACTATTAATAAGTAAGCAGAATAAACTGATTGGTGATTCAAATTTGAGAAGTTTCAGAACTCTAGGAAACTCAGTGTATGGCAGTTTATGAATCCCTGATTTTTGTTTTTAGTACTAAGAAAATGTCTGTTTCCTGCTGGCTGTTTTCAGCTGGGAATGAAAGAAATTACTGTTCATTAGTATGTGAGTGAGAACCTTTGGGGATTCTCTAGATTCTGCTTTCTCCGTTTTATTCCAGATTATGATTTCATAATGGTTTTCCCCAGGTAGGGGAAAAAATTAAGCAGTGTTTCTCCAGTAAAGATTTTGGATCTCTTGATCTTTGACAGGCACTAATTTGGTGTCAGTTATGTTCTCTGCACAGTACACAGGGGTTTGGCCATGGCAATACAAGTACTGCACAGTCAAGGAGATTCTGCAGAAAGAGTCCTGGCTTCCAGAAATGCTGAAGCTTGGAGAGAAAGGAGGATATACACTTCTTTCCCTCCACACTTATAATTTTTTTTTTTTTTTGAGAAACTAGCAGTGTTAGTTTTGGATTTTGGAAAAGCTTTAATTTACTTCCATATTGGTAATTGCAAGGTCTCTTAGAATGAATAGCAAGGGAGGCATCTAGTGGGGGCTGTCTGCACTGCATTGTGGAAATCAAAAATTCTTAGGAAAGAAGTACCATTCTGCTGGAGTATTTGTTGTCAAGGATAAATTTCGATTCCTTGATGTTTTATTGCAGTTAGGTGGAACCTTGTTTTCCAGTGCTTACATATGCATGGTGCACAGGCAAAACTGTTACCGCTTTTATTTTATTTTTAATTCTGTTTAATTTTGCTGAAAGACAGTTTTATTCCTTTAATCTAAAACAAATAAATATTCTAAAATTATATTAGAAAATCTTTGTAAGCATGCATGACTAGAGCAGTACATCAGGATACTTTTTTTAATGGAAAAATTAAATATTTTCACTTCTGTTGAATATAAGCACCCTGAAGTAATCACTCAAAATACCAATATTTTTACTTAAAACAGTGAGGAGTCTAATTACAGTATTCCAGCTATCTTAAACTTCCAATATTTCTGTGGCTTATTTCTCAAAAAATATTAGTGCATGAGAAATGACCTTACACAATCACTGTCGGATAGTGGATTACAATTGCATTCTCAAAGCCTGTGAAATAGGTGGTGGAATTTCTTTGCCCGTCATGAGCGATATGTTTGTTTTATCTTAATATGTAACTTCTGATGGTGGTAATCCATGGAGACCGATTATTTTAAAGTAAATACAGGCAGGCAATCTAATTCACTGCAAATGCAAGGAGGTTCCTCTGGTCCCTTACGATTTGCGAATTTGATGCAATGCATTTTTATATTTTTTTTTCCTTGTCCATATTTAGGCGGCCTCATTCTTTTTTATTGGGCTGATGTCTATGATGATTCCACTGTGCAATGTCTTTGGAGCTCTCGTTGCTGTCTGTCTCTTCATGGGCCTGTTTGACGGGTGCTTCATTTGCATTATGGCTCCTATTGCCTTCGAGCTCGTTGGGGCTCAGGATGTCTCCCAGGCCATTGGATTTCTGCTTGGACTCATGTCCGTGCCTATGACAGTTGGTCCACCCATTGCAGGTGAGTGCAGACAGGGTTTGTAGCTGTAAATGTGTTTCTATATTTGCATGACTTTTTGGCCGTGTTTCCCATTCCTGCATCACATGCAGAGCTTTGACATCGGAGGTTTTATCTGTGTGTGCTTGAGAAGACAAAGGAAATTTACCTGCTGCTTGTGGGTTACTAATTTACTGCACTCTTCACAGTTTGCTCAGTCTTCTTGATTGTTATGCAAACATTCCTCAAAAGAAAGATAGATGGGTTTCCAGTTGGATTTAGGACCTGACATTTTCCAGTTTGTACAAGTGACAGCCTATTGGTTGCTTGTGTTACAGAGGGCCTCCACATTAACATCTGAAAATTAACTGGATTCCAAAATTTGCTCATGTTAAAACCATTGTGAGGCTAAAGGCTCCAGTCACTTTATTTGCTCCTCATAAGTAGGAGTGCTGGCTTTATTCATCCTTTGGTAGGAGACTGACAAAGTACAGGTTTTGAAGATGAAAACTTGGAAGTTCTTGGGAGGTAGAATGGAGCTGTATTCCTCACCACTGATGATTTTCAGTGGTAATTTACCCTGGGGTTTGGTAAGTGAAATGTACTTTGTAAGACATAATTGAACTATGCAGCCCTATAAAGGACAAAATTTTAATGCTGGAACAGCACAGACTTGGTGCTCCAACTATCACAGCTATTAATACTTAAATAGAATTTGACTAATGGGAGGAATTTGGAGCGAGCAATTGGAGCGTATTATTGGGAGACAATAATTCTTCTTAGTAAGAGGCCATAAGGAATGCAATATCTGGAGTATATCTAGAATTAGAAGAATGGGCATATTGATCAAAGGCAGCTGTTTCCAAAAGGAGGGAGAATTTCTCTAAGTCACGGCAAGATACAGGTGCTGGAGAAGCTCAAATGAGCAACTTTCAAATAGGAAAGATGTGCATGTTTTTAGTGGATGGCAATTAAGCAATTTTCAGTTGGTTGAGGGGTGACCTACTGAGCTCTTCATTACTGCTCCAAGTCAACTCTGGAGTACCTTTCTGCCTCTGGGTACACCTCTGTTTGGCCATCAGTCGTCAGGTTCTAGTGGCTATAATCTGTGCCAGCTCTTGGTTGTCTGAACCTGAAGCCACGACCTGTTTTCTGTGGATTCCTGAGGCCCCTTTATTTATGAGTGGTCACTTTCTGCCTTCCCAGGTCTGCTGCGGGATAAGCTTGGCACCTACAATGAGGCGTTTTACCTGGCTGGAGTCCCCCCCCTCATCGGAGGAGCGATTTTGTGTTTCATCCCCTGGGTCCACGAGCGGCAGAAGTTGAAAGAGAGAGCAAAACCTGTTGATGGAGAAACTACTGAGAAAATGCTGGAAAATGAAAGCACTTTGGTGTCAGACATGACAGAAAAGCCAGTCATAGAACTGGACTCTGGCTTTTGATGCTTTTTTCTTTTCCCTATACCATCCTGACCTCCTCCTACTGAAACCAGATTTCTACTTTTTGGCTGAAGGTACTGAAGTCTTGAACTATTGCAAAACTGCTACAAGAATCTTTTATACCATTGAACTTTTTTGACAAGTCTTTGATTTCAAGCCACATTTTCAAGGTATTTGAAGTTTTGTAGCTTTAGTGTGTATGTGCGTAGTGATTCTGTGTGTGAAGAGAATATTTTTCTAATCCATCAGAACTGATTTCTGGAAATGTGAAAGCTGTTTTTCCTTCACTGACCCAGGATTCTTCAATGATGTCTATGATCCATCCTCTGCAGGCACGCCCCTGGGTGTTTATACTGGATAATGTAGTAGCTCTTACAACTGATCTGTTTTTTTTGGAGTTTATCATGCTGTTTACAGTCTTCTATAATTCTCTATCATGAACACAAATATGCATCTTTTTGCTGAAATTATTGTTCATTAGAAAGCTAAATTATTATACAACTGTTGAAACACTCACTTGTGTTTGCATTCACCTTTCACAGTAGCCCAAAGAACATTCAGGATGGCATTTTTGATGGGCTCAGGTTTTGAATATTTTCAAACCAAGCTCCAAGTGCAAACACGTTCAGAAGTTAAGCTGCTGAATAATAGATTTTTTTTTATTGTTATTATTATTATTATTTGGTGAAGGCAATAGCCGTAAGATGTATGTTTATAAATCTCTTTTCAGCCAAACCTCAGAGTAGTGGATAGTTTTGAAACTGTACTGACTAATTAATTGGAGCAGTATTGTGAATTAGACTAAATTTCAAGTTATTCTGTTGTACTTCTTAGGATTTCTTTTTTTGTTGTTCATAAAAACAAGACAGCTTTAAAGGATACATTCTAAGTGCAATACCAAGTTGTTTTTAATGTGGAAATATACATGAGCTATTAAAACAACATTCAGCAATTAAAGATTTTTGCACTAAGTGAACATGCAGGTTTATTACAAGTCTTTATAGCTGTGCTCAACTGCCTGTAGATTATATGGCTCCATATTTTTTTCAAATATAAAGAAATGTCTTTGCATGTCCTATTTCTTACTTAACACCCTAAACAAATGTCCCCATTGGTTATGTATTCTTAGGTATTATGCACTGTTTGTCAAGCAAGCAACCTCTTTTTCTGAAAAATGTTTAAAAGCATAATACTTGGAGATGAAAACACTGCTTTTCAGTTTATCATAAAGCACTTCTAAGCACACTGCTTATCTATGGATATGGTTCAGCAATCACTGGAATACTTAATCATTTTTTTATTTCAGGTCCATTTAATGCCAATAATTTTGTTCCTCACTTTAAACTGTAATAGCAAAGAGTAAACTAAATGTGATCTGGGCAAAATGTGTACTCAAGTACTTTTTTAATTAGTAACTGTTCTTTACATAGACCATGGAGGCATGCTGTTTGTTTTTTTATTTTTTTGTGATAGCCTTTATTTTCTTTTTTCTGTTCATTCTGCTTTTTCCAGTGTTGTAGTAAATTGCTCAGAAAACCCATATAAAACAGCAATACTATTGCATTTAATGTTTACATCTAGCAACTGACAGAAGTTCTTTAAATATAATCATTCAAAGCATTCTAAGTATTGTAGACCAAAGCTCAGGCATTTTTTATACTGCAGAATTTCAATCCCTTTGCATGAGTGAGGTCTAAAAGAATTGAATATTAAAATGTTAGAGAGACATAAGTGGAGGGACTTGGAGGTGGTGGGGGGAAGCTGATCTGGAAAACCAAGGCCCCCTTCAAGTTCACTGGGACTTGTGCTTTGGCACATTGTAAGTGCTTCTAAAAATGTCCTTGAAATATGCATAGTAGTATTAATTACAATTACTGCCTTCATTATTAAAGTGATGCTGACAGCCAATGCTGCTCTCGTCTGGAGTGTTCCTGTAGAACGTGATATTCAGTATTATTTTCCATTTGGGCAAAGCAGAAGGTGGTGTTGGCTAAATGTGGTAAAAGACTCTTGTTTCCTGTTGTCCTGTTATGAAAAAACTAGTGTTCAGCATAGATCTTGCATTTCATGTGTTTTAGCCCTGAATTTTATACCAAAACCAAAGCTGCTGCTTTTTTTAAATCACTGGTGCAATTTGAAAGGATTGTGACCAGGTATCTTGGTGTAATTATGGCATCTTTCCAACTTGCTGCTCTGCATCTCTAAATTATCTGGGAGAGTATATAAAAGAATTGTTGTAAAGATTTATAAATGACATGGAAATGGTATATCAATAGTATGGGTTAATTATTGCCATGCTGTTTAAAAAAAAAATTCAAACTCTCATATTTACATAAAATTTATAAAAATCCCCAAACCAACAAACCAAAAAACCTGCAGAAATTGTGACCTCCGTGAGGAGGGTGCAATGACTAATTGTTTAGGAGTGATTCCTATGGTAGAACCAGCTAGTGAATGGATGTTGGATGAGAGGGAAGCAGAGTTTGGGGGGAAGGAAGCTCTGCTGGCATGATGATGTTGGAATAACAAACCCATTTCTGATGCAGTGCCTGTTTCGCAACAATGCTAAAATTGGAAAGGCTTTTCAGAGAAGATAAAGTAAATTACTGTTTAAGAACTCTATTAGCGTCTTTTCTGTTAGTTTGTATCTGTGGGGGAAATGTCCAGTAGCACATGCTCTTTTCTGGACAAAAGCATAAGGTGTTTATGTCCTAAAGGTAGGTAAGATGAAAAACAAGCTCAGATTGTTTGTGCTGATGCTGACCAACCACTGAGAAACTTATTGAGAGAGATACTAGATTCTGTATGCCCTGAGGTTTTAAAAATGAGGTTAGATGACTCTATTTTAAGAAAACCCAACAAATAAATCCCCAACCAAACTAAAACATGAAAAACCCTATACAAATAGCAACTATTTATTAAATTTATTTTAAAAAATATTTAATATTGTAGATGTAGAGAAAAGGACTGAATATTCAATTTTATTTTAACTGAATAAATGCAAACAAGATTTTGTAACAATTTATTTTTAGGTGTGAAAACCTGTTCATGGGAAACCTGCTGAAATCTTATTTTGATGACCCAAATCATGCAAGCTTTAATCTGGTTGGGGGTAGATTCTAAAACTGAAATAGTAGCTTAATTCAATAAGACCCTTAAATCACTCTGATCTATCCCTCTCTTGAGAACGGTTCATAGAGTACTTTCTGTAGACATTATTCTTGTATCCTATAAACAATGTAATCATCTTTTCATTGAATGTTCTCAGGGTAAATCTTCAGAAGAAAAGGAGTAGAAACAGGTTCATTTAAAATGGCAGTGTGAAATTTCCAGACAGTGATGGTGTCATTTAATACACCGGATCTTGAAACCAATACTAATTTTGAGCAAGGTTTTATTGGTTTCATACTTTTTCAGTAGGTATGAGATCCTTTTAATCTAAAGAAAACTGTTCAGCAAAGAGTCTGAAATAATGGAAACCCTTTGGGTTCTTAGTTACATCTCAGCTATGCAACAGGATCCAGTGTGTAACTAATAAAGTATTGTTGGATATGTCCTGGCCACTTTTGAAGACCTGTACAAATCTCAGACCCAAACTTCAAATTATAACATAGTTAGAGTTTCTTGCATCCAGGTCTTCATCTGTTCACCATTAGCATTTAAATTATTTTTCTAATTTTATTTCCAGTGACAATTTATTGGCCCTGAAAATTGCCCCTTTGAGTCAAAGATGCTGTAGCTGTTCCGTGGCCTTTCTTCAGGGTGTACTTGGCATCAGATGAGGTAGACAACTGACACTGTTCTCCTTCGGCCCTTCATGTGTGGGCACATAATTCCCCCCTCCCTGCAGAGACACTGGATTGTCAAGCTGATGCCCACCACATTGGAAATGGGTGGGTGCCAGATGAGTGCTTTGATCAAAGGCTCCTGGTGTAAGAAAGGGACACTGCCATTTTAAAGCAGAAGTGCCCTGCTCAGTTCCTTGCCTCGGGCAGTGCATGCCAAAGGGACGGGAGGTGCTTCCTTACAGCCCCAAAGGCTCTGTGTCAGGCTGGGAATCAGTGCTACAATCCTTCAGGTCATCCATTCGCTTGGCTTACGCGGCCGGGCTCTCCCTGTGCTGGCACGGGGCAGTTCCTGGCCTCGCTGCTTGCACAGGGCTCAGCCGAGCCCTCTGAGCAGGGAGCAGAGGAGATGCCTGGTCTGGGGCCCAGATTCCCCTTTGGAGAGCTGGAAGTGTTACAGAAGTCAGAACGCACCCCTTGCTATTAAGAGTGTGCGTGTGTGTATCTATAAATACAAAGTATTTTGAGCAGGGCATGCACAAACATTCTGCATCACTAGAGGAGGTGTAGTTCTGAAACGTGAGAGATGGCTGGGGAAAAAGCGATGCCTTTCTTTGCGTGCCTCCCTGTTGACAAGCACAGCAGCAGTGGAGTTCCAGCCAGCCAGTGAGTTTGTAGTCACGTAAGCTTTGGCATACGTGCAGTATGCCTTCTCGTCTATATATATCTTGTGTCAACAGTTGTCATGCTTTGGAAGTGCATATGCTAAGATTAGAGTGATTTTATACTAAAATGTTTGCTAATATCGACAACACTGACATGTTTAAGTATCTTTATAGACATCATATTTTGTATGTTGTTTTTGATATTAAAGGGTACACGTTTTGCTAGCCTTAACGCCAGTCTTTCAAGTTCTGCTTTGTTGGAAGGGTAAGAAATGAATGTTTAATGTTTTTTGTGGTGCTAAAGTAACTGTGATCAGTCTCAAATTATTCAGAATAAAGGTGGTAGTTCGTAAGTGCCCCATTTGTTACTGCATGCATCATTTTTAGTCTTATTCTTGGGTAAAACTTGTCATTTTGAAATGTAATTTTGTTGCATTCTGATAATTATTGAATCTAGTGTGAAGACTTTTATACAAAAAAGTCTTTTTTGCCACTGTGGTCTGACTGAAACGTCCCCATTACATTTGCTCCTACATTGATATATGGTGCAACCCATTTCATTCTGATTGCACTGACAACCCATTATAAGACTAGTGATTTAAAAACCTAAGCTACTGAGGTGTTTGTTTCTGAAAAATTCATCTTCTCTATTTTCCATTCTGGGGCTTAATATCAAACTTGCAGAAGCAGTTGCATTCACAGAAGGAGAATTGAGGGAGGGAGGGAAACTGGTACAATAAGCTTGAGTGGTGTTTTAAAATAGTTCTGATTTTGCTTCATGAACTGCCAGTAGAAGTCAGTGGGACCTTTAATAATTTACTGGCCTGCTACCAATTTCCCTTTGACTTACCTTGACTATCCTTACCTTCCCTTGCCTTACTCTTCATGAAGCATGAAGTCTTTCCTCATTGACAGCTTCAGTAAGTCCCAGAAGTTCATTCACCTTTCCTTTGCAGTAGAGCCAAATCTTTATTTCTTTTAATAAATTTGTCTGATGATATGGGTGAAATATTCCCTTTTTACCTGGGGTTATTCCCTAGGCTGCTTGTAGTTCAAATTAAAAAATGAAAAAGATGCTCAAGCCCTTTATGAGTGCCTGGGTGCTGTTGCCATTTGTACGCTGTCCATGTACAAAGCTTCTTTGTAAGTGTAAAACAGCAGTGAGGAGAAGCCTGGGGGAGGCATTTCAAACAAGGCAAAATACTAACATCTAGAAATGTGGTCTGAGTTGTGTGTGACTACTGCTGTTTTATAGTTGAAATTATTATTTTATCTGGAATTGTCTGTACTGCTGGATGTATGAACAGAAGCTCAGCAGTTTTCTGCAGATACCTCATGGTACAGACTCTGCACTCCTCCAAAGGGATCGATTACATTTAAATATTATCTGGCAGTGTTACTTGTAGCAAGCAGGCACTTTTTTTTTTTTTTTTTTTTTTTTTTTTTAAATGTCTCAATGCACCCAGGCTATCCTGAACAGGAAGGGGCTTGCAACATGCTTGCCAGAGCCAGGAGAAACGGGAATGGGTTGCTCACTGTCCGTGCCCTGCTATAACCCAGTATTACTTGTTAGGAACAACGTGCAAAACAAAGCACTGCGGTTTGGAATTGTCTTTCCAGTTGTTTGTGACACTTAAACTTACCAAGCACGGTGAAACTCGGAGCCTTTCTTAGAGGGAGCAAGCAGCTCAGTGCCAGACAGGGAGCACAGTCTGTGAACTGCTCCACAGGAATGGCAGGAATTTATGTAGTTTTAATGTTAAAACTTTTAATACCAGCCGTGGGTTAATACCTGTACTCAGCAGACCCATCAGTTCTCTCTCTCTCTGCTTTATCACCGTGGCATAACTGCTTGTGGAAGGCAAAGACCGTTTATGATCGGTTGACTGAAAGGTCGAGTGCAGTTTGAGTGATAACACAGATTAAAAATAAATGCTGGTTTATAAGGGCACTTCCTCGGGCACTGTGGCACAGACTTCCAGCGGTGTGGAGTGTCAGCTGCCCCGGGAATGTCGCTCCCCAGCGCCGAGCGCTGCTCCCCGGAGGAGCCCCCGGCGGAGGAGGAAGCGGCGGCGTCGTCCCCCGGCTCCGAGCCCGCCGCTCCTGCCGCTCTTCCCGCTCCTCCTCCCGCTCCTCCCGGCGCCGTGCGTGGGGCGGGGCCGGCGGGGCCGCGCTCCTCGGGCCCGGAGCGGCCCTCGGAGCCGGCGGCGGGAGCCATGGCCGAGGCCGATCGGGAGCTGCGCGTCCCCTTCATCGAGGCGGAGGAGACGGAGACTGAGAATGAGACGGAGGCGGTGGCGGTGGCGGCCGGCGGCGGATGGCGCTGCGGGCGCTGCGCGGACGGGGCCGCGCTGCGCTGGTGCATCACCGGGACGCTCTGCGCCTCCTTCTTGGGGCTGGTGAGTGAATGAGTGAGCGAGGGCGGCTGCGGGGGCGGTGCGGACCCTCCCGCAAGGCGAGCGAGGTGACCCCGCACTCTTCCCTGCAGGGGATGAGCATCGCGGTGCTGGGTCCCACCTTCCCCACCCTGGCCGCCAATGTCGGCAAGAACGTCAGCGACATCTACTACATCTTCGTGGGCCGCTCCCTGGGCTCCCTGGGCGGGTCGGTGGTCGGCGGGGTGCTCTTCGACTGCATGAACGCCGCTCTGCTGCTCGGTGAGTGCTGCCCCGCCGCACGGCGGCATCGCCCTCTCGGACACTGTCCGGGGCAGCTTCTGCTTTCCGCAGCGAGCGCGGCCCCGAGGGAGATGCGCCGCCTTTCCGGAGCGCTGCCGAGCCCCGGGAGCGGGAGGGTCCGTGGGATGTGGCGCTGTTCCCGCAGATGCCCGCGGGCTGGTGCCGCTCCCGCCGAGCAGCGCCGCGGAGCCGGGGCCCACCGGGAACTGGCACCGACCGGACACAAGCTGCATGGACTGACCACGGGCTCGCACTGAAAACAACAACTGGGCTTTTTTAGTTTGTATCAAGTAACGTGCACAGTGTAGGTGCTCTTGGAATGTAACGGGCTTCTGCAGCGACACAGTACAACACGTGGAACAGGAAGCTGTTTTGGCTGCCGGGTGTGCACAGAAACCTCCAGCAGTCACGCTGGAGGAGCTTCCCCTTCCCTTAACACTCCTCAGTCACGATCAGCTTCGTGTACTGAGGCTTTTGACTGGAGGGCCATAGCCAAATTTTAACTTATTTACAGTGGGAAACATTAATTACTGTTTGTAATAGTGGAAAGTTTAAACTGTAGGAACCACAGCTGATGACTTTAACAGTCTTCTGGACTTGTGGAAACTTGCTCCTGTAGGAGCACAGGACCGGCTTTGTCCAGGCAGAGCGAGGCTGCTCAGCCGTCAGGGATCCAGGAGCCGCACGCACATCCAGAAAGGAGGGGCTCCTTTCAGAGTTGTGTTAGTGTCTCATTCCCACACTGAAAACATTGGAAGCCCTGTCTTCTTTATTTCAAGTGCCTTTGTGCTCTAAGTTAGGGATTAAAATGTGTACCGGGGCTCTGGCTCTCCTCCTGAGTTCAGGGAACTGTGCCTCCCTTAAGACCCGTGCTGTAACCACATGGTCAGTTCAGGTAAGATCCTTTTTCCATTGCTAGTGCTTGCAGGTGTGGAGTGGGTTTCCTTTAACCTCCTCCTTGTGCACCTGACCAAGTCAGAGTTTGCCTTCTGTAATGGAATCAGAGCACACACCTGTAGAAACATATGTTAACTTGAAATAGTTTAGTATTTCCTTCTTTCCCTGAGGACAGCTGTCTGTTAACGATGCTTGGGAAATGATGGAGCTCCTAATCCTTTCCAATTTGGTAGTGCTTATGGCAAGACCACAATTTGAACTATTGAACCTGTTCTCATTTTTATCATCTGAGGGCTGCCTGTAAGATTTTGGCTTATGTAGTTTTGCCTCCCATCTTTCAACTGTTGGAACTCTGCTACAGAGAAAAACTCTATACAGAGGAAAAATTGAAATCATCATCTGTGTTTGTCAAGGAAATTTTTAAGTGCTAATCATCAGGCATAGAGCTGAAGTGGACAACTGAGCCCTTGCTGAGAAGTTACTTTTTAGGTCTGAGTGTGGCACCTGAGGAGCTGCACTTAGACTTTAGTGTTCCCAACCTCTAGTGTTTGCTGCATGCAGCTCAGCATGCACACCACCTTCAAAAATGTTTTGAGGCATGTATTCCAAGTATCTTGCTAGGTTCTCTAGGGACATTGTTGCTGGTTTCTTTTGGAATCAACCTCATTTCTTAATTACATCAGCCCCCACTGACTTTTTAAGTATCTGCTGCATCTATGATCATGTATTGATTTGAAAAATAATAGAGACAGCTAGTGCAAGCTTTCTAAGAACCTAATACTGTCTGATCAAGATATTAATTGCAGGTTGTTTTATTATGGAGGCAATTATAAACATAGAATTGAACTGCTGAACTTCCTCCCAAATGGTAATAAAAGCAATTTCTATCTGCTAAAAATATTTTTTGAAATGGCATGTTGTAAGTGGAGCCAATAATGGCAAAACGAATACAGTTAATGAATTGCTGCTAAATTTATTTATGAGAAATTTTGTAGTTCTGTCTAAAACTTCAGAAATACATCCCTCATGTGAGAACAAAATAGAAATAAAAGTTAGCATCTTTATATGAAGATCACTTAGTGGACAAGGTACAATTACTTTATAGGATTTTTAAGAGCTTAGTTATATGGGTTCTTTTAAAAATGGAGCCAAATTTAATGTTGTGCACTTCTCAGAGGACAGGCTTGCCACTGTTCAGACCCATATTTTGCTGGTTTCACACTAAAGTCACATTTAGTGACTTTAAATTTGAAATTTGCAGAAGACTTCTTAGTGTCCAACAGGAGCTACTGCTGTCTTTGCTTTAGCTGAAGAAGTTTGTCATGCAGAATTTATACCCTGATGAAATTCCTTTTTTTTCCAACTAAAAATGATCTGTTAAACTTTATAGCTGCTACTGCTAACCACGGATTGAGGTATTTACATTGCATCACTTACTAGGATTATCTGTAACTTTAGGAATCATGAATTTATTTGTATTTCTTGTTCTTCTGTGCTATTTAAATGGAAACTGTAGTATGTGAGTGTGTTGTTTTGTTTTTTTTTAACCTTTCCAGCCTTCTCCATGCTTGGAACAGCGGCTGGTCTTTATGCCATACCCTGGTGTAAGGAATCCCTGCTATTGACCATCTTGATGTCAGTTATTGGAGGTTCCATGGGAATTCTGGACACAGGTAGGGGACCCTGTGCTCTGACAGTTCTTTCAGCAAAAGAGTTGCAAACTTCAAGCATACCAAAACAGTTGCTGGTTTTTCTTGTGATACATCTTGAATTAAAATAGTGAAACAGTTTTACCTGGTTGTGGTTCTTGGGTTAGTCTGGTCCTGAGGCTTCCAGTGTTTATGTGTGTGACAGGCCTTCTTTTAGGGGCTGGGGAGTAGGGTATCTCTTGCTTCCTGGGGAATGTAAATTTGCATTTCAGTGGGCCATTACAGGCATAAAAAAAGTGCCCTGTGCTCTTTAAGCAATGTTTTCTTTAAATTGCTCGTTTACAGGAAGCTGGTCAGGATATGGTTCATTAGCATTAGCTGGGCCTAAGCTAGTCCTGAGCAAAGCCTTGGTGTTTGAGGTTCTTACAGCGGCTGTTGGCAGAGTTGCCCATCTGCAGCTGGGAGTTCACAGCACCATGGTGCCCATCTGCCGGAATTAAGGGATGTTTTCCACCTTTGGAAAGCCTTGCTTAGGTGGCTGGGAATACAAATTTGTTCTGTCCCCCAGATTCTAAGTCTGTGGCATGTGCATACTCCAAATGGCCTGGGCAAAACAATCCCAAACCCAGCACTTTTGCTAGAAAGCTGTTCAAACCCAGTTTCTTAGCAGAGGCTTATTATTGGAGGAAGATGATCTCGGGGATCTTTCCCAACCTAAATGATTCTACGATCCTGAGACGTGCTGGTGAAGTTGCAGAGCAAGTATAGGTGTGGTCAGAAAGGTCAGTTATACATATATCCCAACAGCTCTGGAAGCATCCCAGCCAGGGCCTGGCTTGGCTGGTTGGCAACAAAGAGGAATGATGGCTTGCACATGTGAAGTGTCTGCCTTAATTCTGTGGGGTTTGAGGTAGCTCTGCAGGGCACAGTATCCAGTAGTTAAGAGATGGTTTGCATGGCACAGGTCATGTTAAATAAACTGAGTGCAGAGCTGTTATTTGCTGGCTCTGGTAAGATTGTTGTACATGGCACTTGGTTTAAAAATTCTTTGTATGGGAAAATCTTGTCAGCCAATAGTAAAAATACCTTCAGTGGGTGTACTGCTTGGATCAGACCTCAGAGCCAGGGAGACCTCCCATGCTGAGCAGGAGTAGCAGAAGAAACTCACAGCAAGGCAGTAAAGCAAAGCTGAATTGATTTGGAAGAGTGCTGAGTGACAAGGGCTGTAGCACAGGAATTAAATTACTGTTTTGTTTTCCTGCATTCTTCTGAGGGACTACTTCAAAACACCTCTCTGAGATCTTATTTCCTGCCATTATTGTTGATCTAATGGTGTTGTAGTTTGGTGTTTACAGCAGTATTGATGTTAAACCCTTCTATTTCTGGAAAGTCATTTGAACACAGTGGGGTGGTGGGCCCAGCCCATCAGTAGCAAGTGAATTGTTATTTTTCCTGGAATGTTGTTAAATGAGTTTTAAATGTTGTTTTTGTTCCTTTGATTCTTAGCATTGGGCATTGTTGCTTTTGATACTTAAGAGAAATGAGAAGCAGTTAAATTTCCCTTTTAAAAAAGGCTGAAAATTGCTGCAAATTGTCAAGGAGGGTAATTAGAACCATAGAATCATAGGGTCCCTAAGTAGGAAAATGCCCTTAAGGTCATCGGGTCCAACCCTTAACCCAGTACTGCTGAGTCCAGCCCTAAACCATGCCCCTAATGCCACATCCACATGTCTTTTAAATACTCCAGGGATGGTGACTTAACTGCTTCCCTGGGCAGCCTGTTCTAATGCTTAACAATCCTTTCCCATGAAAAAAATTTCCTAACACCCCATCTGAACCTCCCCTGGCACAGTTATGTCTGTCCATTGCTGCTGGATTAAGCCACTGTGTGACTCTTTGACTGCTCTGAATATCCTCCTAAAGCTCAAGTAATCACGTGGATTTAAGGCAGAGTTTCAGTTAACTGCTGTTTTACACATTGTATTTGCTAAACCTGGCATTATTGTACACTGAATTAGCAATATAGGTTGTGGTTTGTTTTGTTTTTTTTTGTTTTTTTTTTTTTTCTTTTGAACAATATCTGATCTTGGACTAAAATGAATATTTTTCTCTCTGATCTGCAGGTGGCAATGTATTGGCACTGTATACCTGGGGATCAGAGGTTGGGCCACACTTGCAGGCTTTGCACTTCAGTTTTGCTGTTGGTGCATTTCTGGCTCCTATCGTGGCTCAAATGGACTTGGGGAGTTCTGAATCTCCAGAACTTGCAGGGGCTGAAAAGACAAACCAGTCTGTCCTCAAGTCTGTGCCGACAGCATCAGCTGCATCGACTACAGCAGCACCGAATGAGCATCACAATGAAAGCTTTTTGTGGTCCTATATTTTCATAGGGACCTATATTCTCTTAATTTCCATCTTCTTTCTTGTGTTGTATTCAAAGAGCAGCTCAACTAGAGACAAATCAAAGGCTTCTGTGCAGAAGGACAAGCTTGCCAAATACCACTGGCCTCTAGTTGGTCTCCTCTTCGTATTCTTCTTGTTCTATGTGGGAGCTGAGGTCACCTATGGCTCCTATGTATATACTTACGCAGTGGTCTTTGCTGAGATGAAGGAGAGTGAAGCAGCTGCTTTGAATTCTGTCTTCTGGGGCACGTTTGCAGTGTGCAGAGGAGTGGCGATATTCGGCGCTGCTTTCCTGTCCCCTGCCACCATGATCGTGATGAGTCTCCTGTGCTCTGCTGCCTCCTCCACAGCCCTGGCCTTCTTCGCTCACTACCGAGCGGCGCTGTGGGCGGGAACCGCCGTGTACGGAGCATCCATGGCCACCATCTTCCCCAGCGGCATTGCCTGGATCGAGCAGTACACGGTGGTGGAAGGGAAAACGGCTTCCCTGTTCGTGGTGGGCGCGGCGCTGGGCGAGATGTGCATTCCTGTGGCGGTGGGCTATCTCCAAGGCAGGTACCACCATGTTCCTGTCGTTATGTACACCGCCTTTGTCACTTCTGTAGTGACGGTCCTGCTCTTCCCCGCCATGTACAAACTGGCCACCTGGCCCCAGCAGCGTGACTCGCAAGGAGTGAGTGACAGGGAGACCCGGAAAACTTTGTTGTCGAACTCGAGGCTTACTGAGGATGAGGAGGAGGAGGAGCACGTGAGAGAGTGGAACGATACAGACTTTGAGGTAGTAGAAATGAATGACAAGCTGACAAACTCTGTGACAGACACCTCCCGTAGGGTACCAGGGGGCTCTCCAGCTGAAGTCTCTCTCCTGCCCCATCTGGACAATGCATTGGGTGATCCTTCAGTGGTTGCTGATGGCTCCCCTGGTAGACAAAATGGGATTGTTGACTGGGAGAAGAGTGAATAGAGTCAAAGCTGAGTTTTTTTTTTTTAAATGGAAATGCAATTGAATTGTAGCTGTTGTCAAGTGGTTCAGGAATCCTTTCACAGTGGTGCAGAGCTCAGCATGCTCATTTTCCCAGTCCTTTCTCTTTCATTTTCAGCCTGCAGCGATATGTCTTGGAGTGGGAAGGTCCTCAGTGATGTGAAAGGGGCAACATGACAAATGTTTGGCTATGCCAAAACTGTTAAAATATGAGGCATGCATCCAAGGAGGAGATACTGTAATAACTGGGAAAGAAGGGGACTACTCAGACTACTCAGTTTTTTGAGATGGGTGAAAGGTGCAGGTCTGAGATGCTTTGTCACAAAATGGTTTCATGAGAGAGGAGACACTCTGTTACCAGTAGTGGAACTTTCTTACCTTGGGAAGGAGGAATGTTTCTACTGTGTTTGACAAGTGTCTGTGATCAAATCAGTTAAAATTTCTGGTGTTGCCCAGCAGCTGTATATTGAAGAACATTTTGGCAAACTATAGGAATTTTAGATTCTGAGACAAAGACAAGAAAAAATTGGGAATTATTTCTTAGGCGTGAAACCATGCCTTGGGTCACTTAAAAGCAGTTTATGAGAAAGGGCACAAAACGGGCCATTGTTTATCTGCTCAAATGCATAACTCCAACCTACTAAACAATGGCAACAAATCTAAATAATCAAAAGTATTTCTGATTTTAATTATGGCACTACTGCTGAAATCAACAAATGTATGCAAAAGACAAAAAAATTATGTAATCTTTGAATGGTTTGAGTTGGAATGGACCTTTAAAGAGCATCCGGTTTCAACCTGCTGCCATGGCAGGGACACCTTCCACTGGACCAGGTTGCTCAGAACTCTATCCAGACTGGCCTTGAAAACTTCCAGGGCTGGAGCATCCACAACTTGTCAGGGGTAACCTGTTTCGGTGCCTCACCACCCTCACAGGAAAGACTTTTTTCCCTGATATCTAATCTAAACCTATTCTCTTTCAGTTTGAAGCCATTCCCACTTGTTCTATCACTACATGCTCTTGTAAAAAGTCCCACTGCACCTTTTTTGCTGGCTCCTTTCAGGTAAAAGAGATTGCTTAATATATGGTATTTTTAAGGCAGTTGTTTAAGGTTATTACAATTTCTCTGGTTTCCTGTCCCAAGACTTAACAGGGTAATGTGTTACAATGAAGATCTGAGGAGAGGGAATTATCAATGAGACAATCCTTTCCAGTATGACTGCTTGCCCCTGGCCAGTTGGCTTGGTGACATTTGGGTTTTTTCTTTGGGGGATGACATGAAGATGGACTCTCCCTAGTGGAGAAGCAGTGGTTTGTGTGTGAAGTTTCATTGGTGCTAAGCAGGAAACCCTGGGCAGGTGCAGCCATGCCAGGGAGCCCTCCCAGTAAAAGGAAAAAAGTAGCAGTAAATGGCAAAATCTGTCTCTGAACAGTAATCTTGCCATTTGTCAGCTTGGAACTCCAAATCAGTTAGGGATTTTTTAAGTCTGTGTGATAAGAATGTACTCGTTTGGAGTTTTTAACTTCTCACTTTTATTAGTATTTTTCTTGCTAAGAGGTTTCATTTAATAAGAAAAGGGCTCTAGGTGTAACATAACACAGAATGTTTGATGTTCCCTGGATTTCCAGCTCTGCTTTTCTTCCCTCTCTTGTCCTTCAGGTATGCAACCTAGGCTTGAATGGCTTTTTCTTTTCTTCTGCAAGTTAGTAAGTAGTAAGTACAATACAACTTGTAGTATTTTTTTGTTAATAGCTTGCCATGTTGCAGAGCCTCCCTCTCTTTCTGCTGCTGGCACTTAAATGCCACTGTGTTTTTGATGGATTCCTTCTGCGGCATCTTTTTCCAGTGCGATGCCTGAACCTGCACTTGGAATGAAGCCTTGTTTCACTTGTGGCACAAGGGCTGTGTTTGCTTACAGGAATGGTAAATGCCAGCCCCAGTCCTGGCCTGGGCACAGGTGACAGGAGTGAGTCCGTGTGGCCCTGCGTGCTTCGCTGGTTTGCCGTGGAAGCAAGCAGTGTAGTAGGCAGAGAGAGGGGGTGGAATGAGGGCAGCTGGAGCCTGCATTGCACCGTGTTTCCTCTTCCCATTTTTCCTCTGTGTGCTGCTCCGTGTGTGTGGGAAGTAGGGGGTGTCAGCTGATGGTGAGGACAAATCTCACTGGTGGAGGGGCAGGGGGAAGGTGCAGGACACACAATGAAAGATACAGAAACTGTTCTGTGGCAGTTCCCTGCTGGACCTGCCATCCCCCTGGATTCATCTGTAGTGATGTCGATATAAAAAAGCTTCCCCATATCCAACATCACGGTGCCAGAAGAAAATTATTTTAAGAAAGATACTGGGAAACCAGGAAGATTTGAAATTCCCCCAATTTATATGCTAAGTTTTGATGAAATTCCAGATTGGCATGTCCTACGTGTAAGACTGTTTTCAGGGATAGTTTACACGGATCGTTTACTTTAAATTGTTTGCATAATCAAGTACTAAAAAACCCCAGAAAATGAAATCAAAGCTGCATTGGGAAATATGCTGTAATCTCTTAGAAGCTTATCTACTGCATATATACACTTGTTTGTGCTTCTAACCAGCATTGTCCCAGCAAATGTAAAAATATTGCACAAAACAAAGATTTTTTTTTTCCCTGCCTCTATTAACTCCTGTGTAACTTCAATTCATCCCCATTTCCTCCTTAAAAAGCAGGAAACCTGTGTAGTAGGAATGGAGCAACAGGCTGGAATGCCAAGGTAAGAGCAGCCTTTTCCCACAAATAAAGGATCCAAAAAGCAGCGGCTGTAAGACAATCTGAAGAATTATCTATGCAGAATCACTTTCCACTGGTGTGTGGAGACCTGCCTAAATTTAGTCATCTTAATGAGGACTTGGAGCCTTCAGTGTCTTAGTTCTGGTCTTGAACTGGGATAGACAGACAGACAGAAAGTGTTCTCCTTATTCCCTGTTTAATAGCAGGGGCTGCCCTTGACTGAAAATGAAGTGCTTGAAGCAATTTAAGTTTAAAACAAGATCTAGGACATTTCCAAGGATGAGTCCAGCTCATACCAATTCTAGGCACCCTCAATGGCCAAGGCTTAGCTCCCTGCTCTTGGATTTTGGTGCTCCTCAAGGCTTGTTTTCAGACAATGAATATTCGTTTTCTCATGTTTACATTTCCTTTCACAGTAAATTGCTTCCTGGTATCTACAGCTGAAGTGAGGATCTATTTACAATACAGATCTATGTTAAGTTACAGGTCCTCCAGAATGGAGGGTTGGGGGTTGAAATTACTTGGAGTAACTGTATTACATTACTATTGCCCTGCTTATGCTAGAAAAGCCATCCCTCTGTTGAGGACAAGAGCTTTAATCCATTAATTAGATAGCTGAATTTGATAAGAATCCTATTTTTGTCCACATCCCAGGAATAGTTTGAAGATGAGTGCTCTGCTCCAGTGTGAAAGGTAACCTCTTGCAGCTAAGTGTCATACTTTATTTATCCTGAGGCACTGCCGAGTGCTGGACTGTACTACAAGCACTTACTTCTGGCATTTGCACTTTTATTCTGTACGTGACCAATGCTTGAATGCAAGACCAGGCAAGGTTTTATGCCTTGATGTTTTGGTTTTTTTAGAGTTACTTTGCATACAAGTGCATCGTAATCTGTGGATTTTCTATTATATATGTAATGGTTTTTATTCTGCTTGGTGTGGGTTTTACATTGTACTGTGTAATGTGACATTTAATACACTGACTGGTGTCTTGACTGTAATAAATTCGTATCTGGAGAAGGCACTCAGGTTCCTTGATGTAAATAAAGTTTTATTCTATTTTTCAAACCTTCTCTGGACTTTTAAATTTAAAACTTGGTCCTTTTCTGACTAATGGAAAACTGGAAATGTTTCTCTTCTGGTTTGGGGAAGGCCTCCAAGAACTTCTACTGATGTTTTAGATCCCAAAGTTTAAGCTGGATTCTTAACTTTGATTTGAGCAGTCTTGTTTTTAATATTATTGTGTATGTCAGAGAAGGAAACAAATTGAGGGCAAATATTAAAAACCCCGTATCATTTTTTACCATATCATTTTATTCAACTTTAATATGGTTTCCATTATTAACTTCTAAAACAAAATGATTTCCAGTTTAGAAAACAATGCACTGACCACATAATTCCTTTTCCATTTTATACAGTTATACAAATATTCTAAATACACATTTTGTCAAGATGGTGGCAAATAAGATTTAACTGTACAGTACGTAAGGAAAGAAAATATTTTAAGCATATTTAGAAGCAATAGAAATGTCTATACAAAACAAGCAAAAATGGAATAAAATTTTATATTTAAAGTATTGCAACAGTCCCACAGGTTTGTAACAAAAATGTCTTTGCACAGTTCCTCACAATGCCCCATTAATAGCTAAAGCAAGACAGCAATTTTTAGAAAATAATGTTTCAAAATGCTACACATGGTACTACTGCTTGCACAGTCTGATCAAAATAACAATCTACTTGGAATCAAGCAAAACTTAGGAGGAGATATACCAACCAACTTTAAAATTATCTGTATAAAAGTCATTGCACATTATTTTACTCAGTTGTTTGAAAAGTAAAAAAGTGTATTTACAAAATATTTCGCAGACAAAATTATAAAGTGAATGGAGAATATATAAGTAACACGTCTTGATACTGACAGTTCAAGAACACACACGAATGGTTTTATCATTTCAAGAGGTTTTCAGTGCTCCTTCCTCCAGGAAGTAAACTTGACTTCTACTTTGAAATGGATTTACAAGATGTTACACAGAGCTATTTCAACATCAGCATTATAAAACAGTATGTTAGAAACATGAAAGGAAGAAGAAATTTTTACATCTTAAAAAGTGAACTATTCATAGATCAACAAATGGGTTGGGTTTGTTTTTTTTTTTTTCTTCAATTTAGTTATGGTAAGTGTTCATTGTTCTTCAGATAATAAACCCAACAGTTAAAATGGAAATCCTGGACTAGGTGAGAATTGAAAAAGCACCATGCACAATAGTCTTAGTGTGGTAAACACTGAAGAAAAAAAAAATAGCACCTGGGATCCTGTAACACAGATAATTTAAAACTGGTCAAGCAGCTGGCGGAGATAGGGTGCCTTTGACAGTTCTCTGCTCACTCTGGAGAGCTTGAAAAGCACTGGGCAGTTGAGGGAGACACACTGGATCTGCCGATCGAAGCAGCCTGTGCAGTTCTTGCATATCTGCGTTACACGAGAAAAAGCAAAACGATTATTTTAAACAGCACAAGCCAGGCACAAACCACTAGGGACTGCCAAATCCTCAAGCCTGTATCAGCAGAACAGGCACAGCCCTTCTGCACAGAGCTTCTCCCCAGCATGGAGGGACCCACAGCAGCTCCCTGCTCTGCTTCAGCCTCTTGGGCTGCTGCCAGACAGCTCATCTGGCCGCTGCTGGGGCTGGCAGCATCACCCACTGAACTGGGCAGAGAGCAACAGCAGGACTTCACAGCTTGGGTTGCAATCCTGCTAATTAAGTTCTACTTGCATGTGGTGGCACTTTTAAAAGTAAGGTAAATAAGTTGACTGGGTTTAAGCAGGGGCAGTGTGTTCTATTTGTGATAAACTTACTCTCTGTGAAAGAACTCTTGTCCTGCAATTATTCTCTGCAGAGAAAAGGGACTTTAAATAAATTACTCATTTCAAGATAAGCTTTAATTAGTTTTACCTAGTCAGAGTCAATCAATCTCAACACGGAATACAGAGGCCACAGAAGTTACACTGCTCTTCTTGTTCAAGGAATTACTTGTTAATGCTTCTTGAAAGTACTTTTAATGTGAGATACCCAATGGAGTAAAAATAGCAGCAGGCACAGTTTTTCCAAAGGTAGACACCTTTAGGAAACTAAAGGCCCCTGCTTTGCTATTTTATTTTTAACCTTTGCAGCATTTGCCACCTTCAACAGTTTTTCCAAAACCTTAGAAATTTGGTTCCAACCACACCGTTTTGTAACATTACAATGTTACACAGTTTATCCAATCACATGGCCTGATCAACAAACCCAAATTGTATCCCTTTGCTTTTAAAACTAGTTCTTTTCCTTCTTTCCACCTTCCATGGTGATGCCAGGTCTGCATCAGCACCAAATCCCTGCAATAGGGACTGACAATAGCTGAGGAGGGGCAGCCCCTCCTGGCCAAATCCCACAGGTGGCACCTCAGAGGATACCAATCCTGTGACCAGAAGGAACAGGACTTAAACAGCTGGTTCCAGGTTTGTAACCTCACAACTACACCCAGCCTAGTTCTTCTGAAAGAGGCTGTGGCTGCTTTAAATGCAAGGGACCACACTAAGTGGTACTTGAGACAAGTCCTGAGTTCAGTTTTTGTTGAGGGGAGAAGTCTATGGTTTTAACCTAGAGCATGTAATTTTTGAGTGCAGTTTAAAATAATGTACAGCTCAGTCTTATATCAGTTTTCTGCTGGCTCCAGCATGTTTATAATCTCAAAGGGCTAAAAATTTAAGCTGTGAAGGATATGTAAGCCTTCATATTAAAAATAAGACAGATGCTTCTACAGAGACATCAAACACTGACTGGGACAGGATCCCAGGCTCTGCTGAGCTGTTGCGTGTTTCAGGGACAAGAGAATGTTCTAATCAAACTCACTGACCCTTCTCTGGGGCTGGACCAGCCTGCCAAGTTCTGCTTTATTTCAGAACAAGAGTAATGCAAAGGGTTTGAAGTACCACAGGAAAACAGCAGAACATGCAAGTCCTCATTTCTGCCATTCACAATACAGATAAGGGCAAATATTACAAAATACAGCAAGAAGTCCACACCTTAGTAATGAAATATTTATGAAGTGAATTACAGTGCATTTTTAGCAATCCCATGAGAACCTATCAAATCAATGCTTAGATTTAGGAACACTTATATCCCTGACATTCAGACAAATCTTTAAAATGGTTCACGTGCTAGTGCTAAAAATAAATTTTAATTAAAATATTTATGAATTATAAAATATGACAGTATGAAAATTAGGTGAGGGTATGCATATGTTTCCACAAGGGGAGGCATTGTGCTTTGCTGTAATAATTTCATGAGCACAGTCAGCTACCCTCTTAATTGACTTCTAGCTCAAGGGGAAAAAGCAGCTTGGAAAATTCCTATCGAGAGGAAAGGTAACAAGAAAATCCCCAAGCTAAACCACATCCATGTTTTACATATAAATAAGTAAGTTTTCTGACCCAAACATTTTTGTTTCTAGAACATCATCTGTTATTTTAATGCAAAAAAGAGTGAATCTTTTACATTCTCACAGCTCTCTGTCATTATAAAAAGGGATCTACAAACCATATAAGGTACTCTTAAAAATCAGAAGAAAATGAGAAAAGCATCTTCTGATCCCCTCCTTTGTCTTAGCTTTCCACAAAGCCTAGGAGAGTAACAGCTGCTGTGCTGCCTTCAACAGCAATGGGTAAAGCAAACAAGCTGCAGCACATTTAACACCTGGACCATACTTCCCACTTTTGTTGGGAGTATTCAGTAACACACTGCTTTGAAATTTCAGCCCCTGTCTTCTGCTGACAGACATCTGACAATGTTTTAATCGTACCTGCACCAGCTGCTCTTGTTTACGCTCCAGCTCTCGGATTTCTTGGTTGAGAATCACTGCCACATGCTGTGGCTGGCTTCTGCATTTATTACAGATCCCATACTGGGTCAGTTCATCACACACAGGACAGTGTAAGGTCGTGAAATACTGGGAGATGGTGCCTTTGCGTCCTTCTAGCTCAGTGTGGGCAGCTGAGGCAGCCTTCTGAATCTGTCAAGAAAAATAATTAAGAGGTAATGAACTTCCAAGAGAGCAGCCTGCCTTATTCCTAGATTACATAGTTGTTTTTTTTTTTTTCCAAAGGAGTAAGAAAGTGCAAGACGGCCTGCAGGGCCTGGGTTCATACGCAAATTATGAACATGGATCACAGCACTCTGAAGAGTGCAGCACTGGCCCTGAAGTGATACACTCAACAGAGCCCTCCCCAAAACCTATTTCACAGAGAATCTGTAACCATAAATATCCTTGGTCACACTCCTTAACTCCTGATCTCACCTCAAACTCTGCTCCTGTAGCTGTTCCTTTTATAGGTGCTGATCTGATTCGCATCTGAATGTGCCCTGGCTCCAGTGGCTGCCTTCTGGATGCTGCCAGCCCTCGAGTGTCTGTGCCAGGCAGCCCTGAGCACAGCTCTGCCATGGTGCTTTGGTCCATGGCACTAGCTCATGCTCTGATTTCCTTGGACAAGGTTCCACCACTGGCCCATCACCCTGGGAAGTTCGTTCTCTGCACTTACTCCTGCTGCTGCATGACTTTTGCTTTGTGCTATCCTTCACTCTCCTGCTGCTCTGCTCCCTGTAACTTCCTTGCTGCTCCTTGGCCTTGCAGAAAGCCAGGGCTCTTTTTACCTTTTTAGAACAGCTTGTTGGAGATACTTAAGGTGACTGCCATGGTGCCATTGGAAAGGTAAAGAAAAGAAGAAGAACTGAAGTCAATCAAGGCTGTATTGGGAAATACAGCTATACTGCTATATTGCAGTGGAAACATGATGTATTACTATGCTGCTGAAGTCTGTTCTGAGCAGAGTACCCAAATGACACAGATACACTGTATTTCACCATCCCTTTTTGTCAGGGGAATCACAAACTAAAATCCAGCTATCTAATGCTTCTTTTCCTGCATCTCAATGACTTCTTTAACTTTTAGGGAAGTCATGTTTGGGTGTTATTGGCTTTAAATTTCTGGTGATAAAATTTCTAAAGTGTTCCTGCCATTGGGGCATGCCA